GACCTCAATCTCCCCGGCCAAGCCCTCAGACTTACTGAACCAGTGTGCAACCTGGACCCAAACATCAGAGTTTTGATGTTTGACCTCCACAAAAAAAACAAAATGCAAAGAAAAATAAAAGTCAACATAATGGGAAAAACAATCTATTGTGCACTCTGCCTCTCTTTTTATGAACATTACTTTAGTGGATTATTTTTGTATGTTGAATCTCTGGATATGGGTCAAAAGCATTATTCAAAATGGGAAACCAGGTTCTCGATTTTATTTTTGGCAGGTTACCTAGAGTCTCAGTACCTCAAGACATGAGCTTTGCACTCTTTTCAGCTGGGACAATTACATTTAAATGTTACAGAGGTAGGGTGGGGGCAAAACCATGGAGGGCTTTAAAAGTGAGGACAAGGATTTTAAACTTGATCCTCTAGGCTGGGATGGCGAGCCATTGTCAATTATTTTACATTTTGCTTTCATATTTCACTGGAGAAAAATGGTTAATTGCAACATATATCACCTAAATTTCTTAGCTTTTTTTTAAATTCCATCTCCAAACACATTCAAAAGGGAGTGTGAAAACACATGTATATAAATGAAACCATCTGCCTTACTGGCCTTCTGTACTGTAGCATTTAAGATTTGTTTCAATCAGCTTCCTGTGAACTGACAGCTGACTTTGATCTTGCCACTTTGTCTTTATCCCAAGTTCAGCACACCTATCAGCACAATATATAAATAACCAAATTGTTTCTCTGTTTACAGAAATGAACATGGAATGTTTCAGATAATAAGGGGAGCTTTTTGTAGTTAAATGTACGATTAAATGTAAAACCATTAACGTAAGGTTGCATTGTAAGCACAAAAATAAAAGAATAATTTTAAAAATCTATGGAACATATGCCAGGGAATGATGTTCATCTAAGATTGGAAAAACACCAAGCAGTCTGAATTCCTTTACTAAAGGCCTATACAATAAGAGTTCCTAGGGAAGAATGCAAACTAAAATGAGAGGAAAAACAAAAGTGTACCCTCCACTCACTCTAGGGGTTCCAACCCAATTGCATTCCTTTGCAAGACAGTATATAGTATAGCCCTTATGTGTCCTAAGGCCACCACTAGGAAAACACCTACAACTTTGCCAACAGTTTAATGCTTGCATCAATGCATCCTCCTGTAAAAGCACAACTTTATCAATATTCAAAGCATTGTAACAGCATGTGAAAATAAAAACAGAATATTAAAATATTCCATATGCAATTTTTTTGTGCCGTATCTGAAACAAATGCCACAATTATGATAAGCCATGTAATGATAAATCAGAAGACTTCCCGTTACATTAATTATTGACAAATTTTGCTAGTTTGACTGAAATTTGTTCAGCATAAGACGTAGAAAGTGATCATCAATGGAAAGCACTCTGTTGGAGGAGGGGAGGAAAAGAGAGAGCTGTAACGATTAATGGCGAAGGGTCATAGAACTGAAATGTTGACCCACTTTCCTTTCTCCATAGATGCTACCTGACCTGCTGAGTGTTCCCAGTAATCTCTGTTTTTGTTTCAGATTTTCAGAATGAAATCCTGGTATCTCCACGTTTTACAATATGTTTCCATCATGACAGGCTGTTTCAACTTGTCCAGAATAGTAAAACCAGAGAACACGGCCTGAGATTGAAGGGGGGTAAATTAGAACAAATCTACGCAAACACTATTTCAATGAGCGAATAGTGAACCTGTGGAACAAGCTCCCGAGGGAGATGGTTGAAGCAGTAAGTGCTAATTCTTTCAAACACAGATTAGATTTTTAGGAAATAACATTATGGGATATAGTACCTATGTAGTTTGGGATATATGTGCATGCAACTACCAGGAAGGTGGAAGGTGAACTGGATGGACCTTGGTCTTTTTTAGTCCAGCATTTCTTATGTTATTATGTTTTTATCTTTGCTAATGGGACTATGCATATTTAAATAAAACACAAAATACTGCAGATTTCCTTTAAATGAAATAAATGACACAGAAATCCATTGTGGAGAGAAAAAAAAGAAAAACAATCCTACAACAAGGAAAATTACTTTAGTTGATAAACCAAAACACACAATTTAAAAAAAAATCAGAAGTACAGTGGAATGATTATAACAGCTTTTTGTTTGATGCACAGGACTGTTTACAGTGTGTGCGTACCATACACTGACTGGCTGGCTTTCTGCAAATTGTGAGCACGTGTGAAGATATCGTGGCAGCTAGTACTGGAACCACTGAACACACTCCTGAGAGCATTGCTGGCTTCCTACACGCCACAGAAAGAGACATCAAAGTAACTTTATAGCATGAAGGAAATGACATCAGTGGCTACCTGATGACACTGAAGAAATGACCACCGGCCATCACCAGCCATCTCTAATCTGCCATTCCTCTCCAAGGTCCTGGAACGAGTCGTCAGCGTCCCAGATCCGCTCCTTTCTCTCTCGCCATTCCCTCTTTGAACCCCTCCAATCCGGCTTCCGCGCTGCCCACAGCACGGAAACAGCCCTGGTCAAAGCCACTAATGACATTCTGAACATCTGTGATCAGGGCTCCCTCTGCCTCCTTGTCCTCCTCGACCTCTCTGCCGCCTTTGACACTGTCAACCACTCCATCCTCATACACCGCCTGCCGCTTTACTTAATCTTCACAGGTCTGCCCTTGTCTGGTTCGATTCCTATCTTTCTCACCGTTTCCACTTTGTTGCCTCTAACGGTTTCTCCTCCAGTCCCCGTACTGTCACGTCTGGCGTCCCCCAGGGCTCTGTCCTTGGCCCTCTCCTCTTTAATACCTACATGCTCCCCCTTGGTGACATCATCCGCAAACATGGGGTCAACTTCCATATGTATGCGGATGACACCCAACTCTATCTTTCTGCCTCCACCCTCAACTCCAGGACCACTGCTGTCCTGACAGACTGTCTGTCGGACATCAAGTCCTGGATGAGGGCAAATTTCCAACAGTTGTATGTGAACAAGACTGAGGCCCTCCTGTTTGTCTCGCGCCAGTGCCTCAGCACCTCAGGCTCTGGCAACATCAACCTCCATGGTTGCACACTTCAACTCACCAAGCCAGTCAGGAACCTAGGTGTCTTGTTCAACCCTCAACTGGCTTTTCTCCCCCACATTCAAGCCATGACCCGCTCTGCCTTCCCTCACCTCCGTAACATTACCCGACTCCGCCACTACCTCACCCCTCAGGCCACTGAATCTCTTGTTCACGTCTTCATCACCTCCAGGCTCGACTATGCAAACGCCCTTCTTGTCGGCCTTCCCAACTCCTCCCTCCACAGGCTGCAGATAATCCAGAACTCTGCAGCCCGTGTCCTCTCCTGAACCAAACTCCATGACCCCATCTCCCCCACTCTCGCCCGACTCCATTGGCTCCCTATCCTTCAGAGGATCCAGTTCAAGATCATGGTTCTCACATACAAAGCCCTCCATGGCCTCACCCCACCCTACCTCTGCGACCTGCTAACCCCCTACCAACCCGCCCGCTCCCTCCGCTCAGCCGGCTCTGGCCTGCTCCATGTCCCTCGACCCCCCCGCCCCACCATTGGCGGGAAAGCCTTCAGCCACTCTGCCCCCAACCTCTGGAATTCCATCCCCCAGTCACTCCGCCTCGCCCTCTCCTTAGCCTCCTTCAAATCCCGCCTCAAGACCCTCCTCTTCGACCATGCCATCAGTTACCCCCCCTTCCCCTCCCCTGCTTTCTCCCCCCTGACCCCAGCTCGGGTCTGAAATGCTGTAGTCTGTCCAGTGCCTTGGGACGTCTTCCCGACGTGGAAGGCGCTATATAAATGCATTCTTGTTGTTGTTTACAATATGTCCCATTACATCACGGGTCTGATTTCATGGATCCAAACCACTACATTATAATGAGGTCTTACTGTAACAGGGTCAGACAGTTCAACTGAAAAATCATGAAGACCACTTTCTGATGCCATCCACTACTAGATAAGAATTTGTTGTCTGTTGTGTGCTGGATGCAATCTGCAGTATATATTCACATCAATTGGAATAGGCCCAATTGCAGATATGAGAAAAGCATGAATATTAGGTCATCATGTGAAATACAATGTACAGTACTATAGTGGTTATAGAGATCAGAGGTAACAAAGATTGTTGTCCAGTCATATAAAGGTCAATTGACTGGAACTCTTAATAAAGAAATTTCATAACACCAGGCTTCGAGAGAGTCAAATAAACATGCAGTTCACCTAATTCTCCACCTCAGACTCAGCATTCCCACCAGTGGCAACACCCCCTTTGCACCCAGCTCATTCATTGGTAGAATTGGTATAATTCTTTATGACCAAATGCACACTGTACCATAACTGTACCATTACTCTTTAATTTCCAATCTCAGAATAAAAGATATATTGATAACAGAAAAGGGATAAAAAAATTACACTTAGCAAATGTAGAATTAAATGGAGCAAATATAACAACTCGCATTTATAATAGCACCCATAGGTATGGTAGAAAGATAGGCTTTTAGGTGGCTTTTGAAGGCAGATAGAGAGGGGGGAGAGACGCAGAGAGTTTGCAGGAGGGAGTTATAGAGGGTAGTAGCTGAAGCTTCGCTCAGACATGGTGTGGTGTGGGCCAAACCGAGTTTGCTGCATGGGATTAAGGAATTGAGCAGAAGAATGAGTTTGGAGAAGAGCACAAGGTAAAGCAGATCGAGGTAAGGCAGCATGAAGGGATGTCTAGGTGAGGGTGAGGATCTTGGTTGATCCACTGTGAGATAAGAAGACAAGGCAAGGATGGGGTTAAAGGGCATGCAACATTTTGTGCAGATAAAAACGTGGGTGGTGGAGTTTTGGAAGAGCTGGGAAAACTGGTGGAGTCTTGAAAAGTCAAGTCTGGAGTGCAGAAGGTGTGAATGAGGGTTTCGGCAGGATTGAGCATGAGGTAACGACAAAGCAGACCAGGTTGAAAAATGGCCAGATTTCAACTATGTTGATGTATAAGAAAGTTTTCTTACCTGTTAACATAACTTAGTGCTACATATGTTGGCTGTTGTAGTTCCTGTTTCTCTAACACACGTGGGTCAGTATCTACATAGGAGGAATAAAACATTTACCAATTAGTAAGTGTAAGAAAGCACCTTCATAAAAGAGTTTGGGATTGATTCAAAAACGTTGAATATTGTAATGGCTAAAATTAAAACACTTTTGGGAAGCAACATTAGGCTGAATCTTTGTGTAGAGGACAAGCCAAAATTATTTAATCCAATAGCCTTTGTCATGCACCTCTGGGCTAGCCAATACTTGATCCTAGCCTATACACTCCTCCCTACCCTTCCTTAAGCAAATCCAGTCGCGAATGACTTTGAACCAATCTTGAATGCTTCTTTTATGCAACCTGACATTTTTTTGCTTTGTTTTCCTCTATTTTGTTTGCAAATATAGACCAAACATTAATAGGACTTGCATTCCCACAATTGACTCAATTGATTTAATTTCCTTAATTTCCAAGGAAGTTCAGTCACAGTCTGTTTTCAGTTTACCTTCTCATGGAAACATGACATTTAAACATGTCATAAAACATTTAGTCTCAAAAACCCATCTAAGGTTTTACTAACCACAATTTATTTCTGGATGACATTTGAAGACCACTATAAAGGCACAAGTATTTCTTGCATCAACAACAACAACAACTTGGATTTATAGCACCCCTCATGTAGGGTAGAGTCTCAGAGCGCTTGGGTATGTTGTTAAACAGCAATTTATTGAATAAAAGCACCAACACAGCAGATTCTCATCAGGCACTTTCCCTGAAAAATGACAGTTCTGGGCTTCCTGCTATATTACAAACATCGACAATGCGCACGCAATAATAAAAATTATTTTGTAAACTACAAAGGTCCAAATTATTTTTGTTGTAAACAAAAATGTGCAGAATTGAAGTCATAAAAAGCTTTAGTTATATTTTCTATAAGCTTTTATCCCTCATCCTTCTCTACATGCTCCCTCTCGCAATGTCATCGTAGACATGTATCCGGATGACACCCAAATCTACTTCTCCTCCTCCACCTGCGACTCCCAGTCTGCTGATATCCTGTCAGCTTGTTTGAAGGACATCAAAGCCTGGATGAGCCCAAATTTCTTGCAGCTGAACTTTGGCAAGATGGAAGCCATACTCTTTGGCTGCAGTCAACATCTTCTCTCCTGCAGGTCTGAAATCCTCAACCTCTCGTACTCTCCCTCAGTCTCAATGAACCTGTGCACAACTTAGGCGTTAGGTTCGATCCCCGGCTTTCCTTTCTACCCCACATCCATTCCCTGACCAGGACTGCTTTTTTCCACCTCAGTCACATTGCCCGTCTCCGGGCCAACCTCACAACCGACGCAGCTGAGACCCTCTTTGTCCCTCAGGCCTCTGTTCCACCATCGGTGGCCATGCCTTTACCCCCCAAAACTCTGGAACTCTCCTCCTCAATCTCTCTGCCTTATCCCCTCCCTTCCCGCTTTCAAATCCAGCCTAAAAAAAATTCCTTTTTGATCATACTTGCGGTCACCTCCCCCCTCCTTCTGCCCCCGGGACGCTCTGAGAAGCATCCCTCCAGTACTTTATCCATGTAGCTAGTCTTGATGCCAACATCAAAATTTCAAGTTTAGAAATTATTATATTAAATTTACACAAATGGAAAATTCCCTCTCAACATACACAATTGGTACATCTTGAGATGGGCCTTGAATGAGAGAAGGGAGCATGCAAGTTGGAGGGACTCTAGGATGGATTTCCAGAGAGTGGGCCAGAATGACTGAAAGTCCGCCTGCCAACAGGGGGGCAGATAGGGAGAGGGACATGATGCTGGACCTAAGCGAAATTAGTATCTGATAGTTGTAGGTGGTCGCAGAGATAGGGTTGGATGAGTCCGCGGAGGGCAAAAATCTCTATTGGGAGGTGGGGAGCCAATGGAGCCAATTAAAGATGGGTACACTCCCAGGACCTGGTGTGGGAGAGGACACAGGCTGCAGAGTTCTCAATATTCTGCAGATAGAGAGAGCCGGGGAGTCTAGCGAGAAGGGCATTGGTGTGATCAAGCCTGGATCTAATAAAAGTATGGATAAGGGTCTCGGGGCCCAGAGGGGGGAGGTGGAAGTGGGAAGGCACAATTTATGAACACTAGCAACCCTCTTATCTTACCCAAGTAACCATTTTTCATCACATGGTTCTAGTTGCTGAATGTCAGTAGCATATTCCACAGTTTATTATCAAGATGATACAAGGTTTCTTTCAGCCATTTAAAAAAAATATAATACATATAGTGTAAAATATAGCAAAGCATTAAGCTATCATCTAAGTGTTTGGTGAAGCTTGGTCAAATTAATGAGGGGCTAAGAGGATCCGTAGTGTATAAATGAACAATAATCCTTACATTTGATGTAGACTCTTCATGTCAGGAAGACAGGCTTCATAGGATATAATGTTCACAAACTGCCATGAAATGAATGACCAATTTTATTTGGGGGATTATTGGCCAGGACACTGAGATAAACTCTCTTCTCTTTTCGGATATTGCCATAGTACTGTACGCAACTGGCTCACGCATTTCGCTCACAAATATACAGTGAATTCAATTTACAGTCTGTTCCGTGAAGCGCTTTGAGACGTCTATGAGACATGAAAAGCACTATATCAAATGCAAAGATTATTATTATTATAGAATATTTAACAGGGCAAAAATCCAAGATCTTTAAAAATGAGAAATTCAATGTTTGATGAGTGGAAACTACTTTAGTGGAAATGGTGAGAATTTGTAAGGTGAAAGACACATATTCTAGGACATGGAACACTCTCCCCATTCATTTTACAGCGAGTCCAGTACAGTACAGGTTAAATACATGAGTAAACCTTCTTGCATATTACACAACAATGCCTTTTAACCACAGACTGAAAAGTAAACCAACAGATCAGTTCCCACTCCAGGCATTCTTATAAACTCTGAAAGAATGCCAATTTAATGCCAAATTATGGCTAGGTTTGTCCACTAGATTGAGACTGCCCAAATTTAAGCTTGGTCATTTTCAGCAGTCTGAAATAGGAAACTTTGTTCCCATCACTTTGAGCCAAAAGAATGGAAACAATTACTTTTGAAATTTATTTTTGTTCTTTCAGTAAAGTGGCTCTCACATTCAAATACCTCAATGGTTTCTCCCACTCACTCTACCTTTACAAGTTGACTTAATGTCAGCAAAACCGAGGCCCTCCCTCCGATCGGCTCGCTCCAGCACCTCCGCACTTCAGGCATTGGCAGCATCAACATTCACAGATGCACACTCCACCTCATCAAGCCATTCAGCAATCTGGGCATCCTGTTCAACCCTCAACTGTCCTTTCTCCCCCATATCCATGCATGACCCGTTCTGCCATCCACCACCTCTGCAACATCCACTACTGTCTCACCACTCAGGCCGCCAAACCCTCATACGCTCATTCATCACCTCAAGGCTCGTCTATGGAAACTCCCTCCTTGTCGGCCTCCCCAACTCTTCCCTCCATAAGCTGCAGATCATCCAGAACTCTGCAGATCAAGTCCTCTCCCACACCAGGCTCTGTGAACCCATTACCCTCACCCTCACCCGGCTCCACTGGCTTCCCATCTCTCAAGAGGATAGAATTCAAAATCCTGGTCTTCACTTTCAAGGCCCTCAATAGCCTTGCTCCCTCCTACCTCTCTGACCTGTCCCTCCGTTCAGCAGGCTCCGGCCTGCTCCATGTCTCCGGCCCGACACACCATCGGCGACTGGGCTTTCAGCCTCTCTGCCCCCACCCTTTGGAACTCCATCCCACAATCCCTTCACCTCGCTCCCTCCCTTGCCTCCTTCAAAGCACGACTCAAAACCATCCTTTTTGACCATGCCTTCAGCCGCCCTCCTACCTCTCTGCCCTTCCTCATCCCAAAACCCCCCAGCTTGGGTCCTCATCTCCGACTGTTCAGCGCATTGGAACATCCTCCTGACATGAAAGGCACTTTACAAATGTAATGTTGTTGTTGTTGTCCAGCCATTCCTTAGCTCAGCGAGTACCAGTCTACTGCACCCCTACCATAGGTGTGCAAGCCTTTAACCATTCTACTTCCATTCTCCAAAACTCCATCTCAAGAGGCCCTCTGCCTTGCTCCTTCCTCTCCACCTTTAAAATCTGCCTTGACTTCTCTTTGACTGTGCTTTCAACCACCTTTCCCCTCTCTTCCTGAGTGCTCCCCTCCCCAACTCCTAGTCAGTTGCGTGAAACTCTCTGAGAAGCCAACCCAATGTGAAAGGCTCTATATAAATGTAAGTTGTTTTGTAATTCAACTACAGGAACACCAGATTTTCAAACCTGATTACTAAAAATCCTTTCAGATCTTGGATTACTAGTTTGTACACTAACAATAATAATCATAATATAATAATAATCTTTGCATTTTATATGTCACACAATCACATTGGAACATCTCAAACTGCTTCACAGAGTTTTCTGCAAAGGGTATTGACTGTTTAGATATGGGCAAGCAAGGCAGACAATTTTCTCACAGCAATATCCCACAAACAGCCATGAAATGAATGACCATTTTTTTTTCCTCTAAGAGATTGTCAGCTATTGGTTGTAAAAACTTTTGAGAGAAACATCTCTACCAAGGCAGATCCATCCTCTCAGTAGTCCTCTCAGATCCACTGCCTATTCAATATTTTGTTTTGTTTGACAGATGTCTGATACAAGCAGCCATCCATCACCATGCTAAAGAAATGCCTGTCTCAAGTATCTGACTACCAAGACTACCAAAGATCAACTAAATTCAGATTTTCTATTGGCAAACATATCACCTTGAAGCCGACTCATCCCCAAAGAAAACCCACTTACGTCCTCCTCTTCCCATCCCTCAAGGATTAAAATTGAACTGAGCAACCAAATCATAAAATACTTTGCTATTAATCAACACTTCATGTGACATCCTATTAATTACTTGTATCCAAAATATTTGCAAAATTATAATATTTTGAGTTTATTTTTAAACATCAAGTGCAACAAAAAGATTCTCAAGTATACCATTAGCACACCAAATAAT